ATTTCCACTGCTCCAGAGTTTGTCTTTGGTTTGAGAAATTCGTAACAGTTTAGTTTTTCCACTAATCTCTTGGGAGAATTTGGCAAGTTTTCAGAATCTGAATATTTTGACTGTTTTTGTCAGTGTCTTATTTGAATTTTCTGTTCCACCTTAAATGGTGCAGCAGTTATGTTCTTGTGCCTGACTGCTGCAGCATTTAAGGTGGAACAGAAAATTTCACAAAAAAGTCAACTTCAGCACAGTAACAGCCATTTGACGGCGTTGCTGTTTATACGGCAGGAAGCGAATCCAATCCAGAGTCCTGTCTACAATCAGACTTTCCAGACTTAGAGTCTTTCCAAGTCACGAGGTTCAAGTCCAACTCAGAGTCAGAGTCACTGGTGTTGAAGTCAATGTCGAGTCCCAAGTCTTTCTCGATTTTCTCGAGTCGAGTCTCAAGTAATCAAATTCATGACTTGAGTCCACACCTCTGCAGTTGTCACTCTACGCTGAGCTGAAAACAGTGCAGCGAGCGCTGGAGGTAGACTCATCGGTCCCAGAGCGACCTGCTCTTTGCTTTAAACGGCGACTTTCCTGAGCCTTCCTGAGGAGAAAACCTGTCTCCCGACTGTACAGACATACTATACCCATTATGGTCTGCGGGGGTGGGCTTCACTCAGCGCGTGTTTACACAGATGTGTTTGAGCGCAGATGACACAGATGGTTATCGTAATGTGTGTGTACGTGTGCGTGGTTCCCAGAGCACTCCAGGCATGATCTGGGGGTGGGAATGAGGCTAACCCAGAAAAGAATAGAGCTCTCAGACTGGATGGATGGGAAAGGGAGAGACCCTTACAGTCCTCACCTTTCCAGGCTCACTCTCTGACTCTTATTGGCAGTGCTGCACAGCTAGAGCTGGGAATTCTAACAGAATTTATCGCTATCATGATTAATTTGTCACAGTATGCTTTTCTGTGTATATTGTGAATATTGTCAGTACTTAAAAAACACTTCCCAACTGCATATTAGATGAAAAAGAGGAACATCAGTCCTAATTGGATTTAGAGTAGCACTGAATGAAATGTAGTTTGTTCTAAATTTTGCGCTGCTTCATCTGTTGCAAATGACGTCATAAAAAATAAATATTGCGATATGTCGTGTATCATGAAAACGTATTGAAGTATCGCGATATTATATTTTTGTCACCCACCTCTGTGCACACATGCTAGTATTTGGTACAGTTGTATACACATTTTTAACCCAAGGCGTGTTGAATAATCGTGCAATCATTGAAACAAATATATTATGAATCGCTCAATTACCAAATAACTCTTATGTAACTAGCAGCTTTTAAATTTAGCTTGAGATTGTTTTATGCATTTGCTAACTAACAATGAAGAGAGTAAAGATGAATAACTAATTAAAAAATTCACTGTTTTAATAATACTCTAATACAAAAGATAAATAAAACAATAATATATTCTTCCTGTCAAAATTTAAAATCAAGAATGTTACAGCAATAAAATATAACAAACCTACATCAGTTCTCTTAATCACCAACAACACAGCCTTATCAACACATAAACATCACATAAACAATAAACATCACACAGACATGAGTGTGGATCACTGCGTTCCCTCCATTATATAATCCTACCCCACTTTCTGAGTGTAATATTCTTTAAACAGTGTAATTTTGTACAGTATCTTTCTTAAACTGCCGCTCTGTAATGGTACTGAATGCAGTCCGGCAGCGATGTTGACCTCCCCAATATGGCGGCTCCATTGGCGTGACCGGCTGAACTCTATGTATGTATATCTATGAGCAGCACTATGTCCAGCCATAAGCATGAGTTGCATTCAAATTCAGCAAGCAGTGGTGAACGTTTGTGAACTTGTTCTCTATGAACAGTTAAAATTGAATGATGATTTTTGTAAACATTCCATTTTAACTGTAGCCCTTCGTCCAGCTGCCCTGCGTATTTGCGGAGAATTACCTCCTGAAACTGTTTGCGAGTGGAGGCAGACGTTAGTGGAGAACTCAAGGCTGACAGGAAACTACAGCTGTTTGCAAAAAGTTCACCGAATTTGAATTTGACGTTAAGACAGCGATGCAGTGTTTAAAAACTAGGAACGTTATCTGGAAAGTGAACAGGGTCGCTGTAAACAACAGTTACTTGCTCCTTTGATCCTTCTATTTAACGTGTTAAATAGAAGAACAATATCCGTGTAAACGCCTGTATCTGATTACATTCCCTATCTGAAAGTTTAAGTCCGTTCTGATCATGTTCGTCACGTCATAGTGAAAGTTTATACCGTTCAACAAGGCAGAGCAGAAACTGGTCTGCAGAGGAGACGAAGTTTATGCTCTGATCTTTAAAAGACGGCGGTGGGACGGACGTCCAGCTTATGTGTCTCAGAACACGACGTCTTCCTCTCGGCCTTCTTTAATAAGGACACGTGAAGGACGTTTTCCTGGGTCTGACATCATTTTAAAGTCATTAAAAACACAAGCGCTGCTCACTGCTGCTCATCTCACTCTGACTGGACTCACGTGAAGCTTGTTGTCATGGTAACATCTACACGAAGTGGTTCTCGACGCATGCATGTAATTTTGATCGGATTACTTGTAGTGAGCAAATAAACAGAGATTTTCCATCAGATTGTTGAGTAGAGTGAGAATAAACACCTCAATCTGAATCTATAATCAGAATGTATTTAATTGGACTGGCAAAAATGTAATGAAAGCGACAGACTAACCCTGTATCAGTGCTCCTGCTGCGAAGCCCACATTCTCTCTGTGCAGGGTTTACAGGAAGAGAGAGAAGGAATGTTCTGGATTCTTTGACTATAATCTCCCTCTCAGCTGATAAGTGCCGGGCTGTGTGTGAAAGATGGCACGACTGTGGTTTAAAGTGCTTCCTCCAAACTCATATTTAGGCTTTACAGTCTTTTAATATTCCTGCCTTGTGTTTTGAACTCCGGCTTTCATCTCTGGCATTCCGAAGGTTTGGAAAGATAACAAGGCGGCTCAGAACGTGAGAGCAGGCTTACCTAGTCATTTTGAGCGTGGCACGATATGGCCAGACTCTCAGACGAAAACTGTAGTTGCTGTAGTTTTGCGGTGAAAAAGATCGTAAACGCTACTGCAAACACTACTCTTGCCTTAAGACGTAATTGTGCATGGAAAAGACATGAATTTCCACAACCAACATAGTATTTAAGCAGTAGCGTCTTATTATACTATCACTGACAAAGATTTATTTGTCTGGATGTGGAGGCTTTTCATAAGCTTGAGCTTCATTGTCGCAAGATTTGTAATTATTAAGTTCATCGTAACTTTTGTAATTGTAAGCCGTGTAACTACACTTCATATTCATAACCTTGATAATTGCAAGCTTTGTAATCGTAAGCTTGGTAATTGTGACTGAAGTTTTATAATTGTAAGCTTCATATTCTTAAGCTTAGTAATCGTAAACTGTGTTATCGTAAACTTTGGAATGAAAAGCTTTGTAAGCTTAGTAATCGTAAGCTTTAGCGCAACCTTTTTTTTAGCATAATTTTTGTAATTGTCGGCTTTGTGATGATAAGCTTCATCATAAGCTTTGTAATCGTAAGCTTTATCGTAAGCTTTATCGTAAGCCTTTTCAATATAAGCTTTGTAATTGTAAGATTTATCGTAAGCCTTTTTATCATAAGCTTTGTAATTATAAGCTTTATCGTAAGCTTTATCGTAAGCCTTTTCAATATAAGCTTTGTAATCGTAAGTTTTATCGTAAGCTTTATCGTAAGCCTTTTTATCATAAGCTTTGTAATCGTAAGCTTTATCGTAAGCCTTTTTATTATAGGCTTTTTATCATAAGCTTTATCATACGCTTTGTAATCATAAGCTTAGTAATCGTAAGCTTTAGCGCAAACTTTTTTTAACATAATCTTCGTAATTGTCAGCTTTGTAATGATAAGCTTCATAATAATAAAATTTGTTATTGTATGCTTAATCATAAGCTTTGTAATTGTAAGATTTATCGTAAGCTTTGTTATTATAAGCTTTGAAATCGTAATCTTTATCATAAGCTTGGTTATCGTAAGCTTTGTAATTGTATTTATCAAGAGCTTTATCATAAGCTTTGTAATCATAAGCTTTATCGTAAGCCTTTTAACATAAGCTTTGCAATCGTAAGCCTTATCGTTAACTTTCTTATCATAAGCTTTGTAATCATAAACTTTATCGTAAGCCTTTTTATCATAAGCTTTGTAATCGTAAGCTTTATCGTAAGCTTTGTTATTAGAAGCTTTGAAACCATAATCTTTATCATAAGCTTGGTTATCATAAGCTTTGTAATTGTAGGTTTTAAAATCATACGTTTAAGTATCATAAGCCTTATTAAAAGCTTTCTTATCAAGAACTCGTAATTGTGGGCATCATAATCATAAGCTTTGTAATCATAAGCTTTAACGTAAGCTTTATCATAAGCTTTATAATTGTAAGCTTTATCGTAAGCTTTGTGGTTGTAAGCATCTTTATCGTAACTTTCTTTATCGTGAACTGCAGTTGAAAGCTTAGTAATTGTAAGCTTCGTTATTATAAACCTGGTAATCGTAAGCTTTGTTATTGTGTTTCATACATGTACGCTTTGTAATCATAAACCTCATTAGCGTAAGCTCCATAATCAAGTGCTTCATTTTCATAAGCTTCCCAGTCATAAGCTTTCTAATGGTAGGCTTTGTAAGCTTTGTAATCGTTAGCTTCTTTATCGTAGCCTTTATTTTAAACTTTGCGATTGAAAGCATCGTGATAGTAAGCTTCACAATTTTAAGCGTCACAGTAGTTTTGTAATCTTTGCACTTGTAATTTTTTCAATCATATCTTTGCATCTTTGCATCATCTTCGTAATCATATCTTTATATTCTAATCAATGTGTTTGTATTTTTTTAATCATAATCTGTGTGTTTTTTATCTTATGCTTTATGGGCTCAGACATTACTATCCCACGAACTTTATGTCTTTGTCTGTGTTGCAGGTGAGACAGCATCGCCGGCAGTAGCAGACGGTGGGACAGTCGACCTCTCTCAGCAGGTAGGGCTATATAAAGCTCAGCTTCTACTGAGAGATGACCACCACAGCTTTTATACCTGGGCTCAGGTTTTGCATCTTGTCTGAGCAGAATCAAGTGGACTGTAAATAAACTGAGCCTCGATCAGCCCATTTATTCAGGATGGCTGATGTACATGGACTGAAAGTTTTCGGCAGACCAGATGTGACGGTCAGTGATGGGAATTTGATGATGCCATCAGTCTGAAGCTGGACATTCCTGTATTGGTGTCCTGAGATATGCTGCATGTTGGCCACGTGTTAGGATCTCATTACTTATTTAAATACACAAGGCAAAAATATTCGAAGCCCCACTCGTGACATCCTGCATAAATAAAAATAATGCGTGGCCAGTAAGGCTTAGTAAGGCATGGGAACAAGATAATTAAGCCATGGCCACGACTTAGTGAGGCGTGGGAACGAGATCACGCCTTACTCGTGCCTTACTAAGTCGTGGCTTGCTTTTATATTCAGATATTATTGATCTAAAAACGAAGATATCGGAAAATGATTGAAATGCTTCTTTTGGAATCTCTCTCTCTCTCTCTCTCTGTCTCTCTCTCTCTCCCTCTCTCTTTCTCTCTCTCTCTGTCTATCTCTCTCTCTCTCTCGCTTTCTCCATCTCTCTCTCTCTCTCTCTCTCTCTCTCTCTCTCTCCCTCTCTCTTGCTTGCTCGCTCTCTGACCTCCTCAGTTGTGTTAGGAGACTTTCTGAGTGACGTGGATTTAGTAACGTCAGGCCGGCGAGACGATCGACTCTGCTGGAAAAGCACTAACGACGCTTCTAATGACCACAGCCATGTTCCCCTCCAAAACCGCCAGCTTTATAGACTTTACTCCTCTCTCTCCTGCTCTCTCTCTCCCTTCCATACCCAGCTTAATGTCCTCTATGATTTATTCATACAACATAAACACTTACTTTCAGAGAGATACTTAAAATTGCGTTCCTCCATGTATCAGCGCTCCTCTCTACATGCGTTGGCTCAATCCAGCTGCTGGATTAGTGCTTGCGGTCTTCATCCAGGTGCCGTACGTTAAGAGTGCAAAGCCCGGGGTCTGGACCTCACCCGCTGGGTGAAATGAGGCAGAGCAGAACCTCATTTCACCCACCAGAGGAGGGCCAGATCCTGGCTTGTTAGAAGGCCTGCAGAAGCTCAATCTGAAGTGGGCCTAGAACGGAGCCATGAGGGTCTGATTGCTTGCATACAGCACACGCGAAGGAGGACGGCAGTAAATCCAGGCCTGCCATGTTTCTGCAATTACTTAATTCCTTAGAAGTCACTTTCCAAGAAAATACCACACTTGAATTTAAAGCAAATTCCAAAGCAGTGATGAAGTAGTGTATGTATATACATATATTTATATATTTGGGGGGTCGTTTTATTTTTTTATTTTTTTGAAAATTTCTGGATTTTATTAAACCACCGTCAATTTGAAACAATAAACAGGAGAACACCGAGGAACATTGTGTACAGCTTGCCCTAACTTTAAATAGAATAATGATTTTGAGTGTTATAGTGTTACATGTGTAACATGTAACCCATATGTGCTTGGACATGCCATTTCAAATACATGGGCATTAATTTGGAGCAGAGAAGCCCCTAACAGTGAATTAGATGTGCTGTAATACTGGTATTGACTTCGACCAAATAAAGCTTTAGCCTATTATGGATTGAGCTATAATGCTGTCACAATATCAGGTTCAGCTAAGCTTTTCCAGATCAACTTGAATGTTATTTTTGTTACAGCCAGTCTGTAAAGCATTTCACAGCTCATCTTGTTTGTTGAATATTCTATTAGTTTTTGGTTAATTCCAGAAAATGTTGGTTGATGTAGTCTTTGTATGTAGCCTTTTGATGTAGTCTCCCAAAATTTCAGCATAACTCAATCAGTTAAGAGGACAAACTCATTCAAAGTGGTTTGATGTGAAATGGATCACTGCGATTTTTGCCAATCCGATTGAATACATTCCGGTTATAGATTAAGACTGAGGTGTTTATATAACCTACTCACTCTACACAACAATCTGAACCCCTACTCAACCCCCTGCACGTACCTCTCCACCATAAATACGTTTAAAATATGTTTTAGGCCGAAACATGATGTCAAAACTATCATAAAACAGTGTCTCAGGTCTCAGGCAATGTATTCAAACTCTTCAGACGTCTGGTTCCTATCACCACCACTGTGAACAATTCTGAGCGTAAGAATGGAGCATGTCACTGACGTTGTTTACATCTTAATAACAGAATTCTTTAAAAATTCAAAATTTCAGTGGAGTTTCCCTTTAAGCCAGTGTGGGAGAGAGAGATGTAGCGTGCTGTTGACACACTGAGGCCTTTAGATAGTGTTGCTAACCACAGAAGGTATCTGTGCTAGTCTGTTTGTCTGTGTGTGTCCATATGGTCTGTCTCCCACACTGCCACATGCAAACACTCTTTAAAGGGGAACTCCACCCATTTTTCAAAATTTTCTACTTAATTAAATGGTTGAGATGTATACAAAGTCAGTCAGAGTGGTTTGGTGTGAAATGCTCCATCCTAGAGTCAGAATTGTTCACTGTAGTAGTGATAGGAACCAGACGGCTGAGGTGTTCAATGCGTCTAAAAGCTTCTTTGCAGAAAGTTATTGTGCAGAATGGTTATAAATGCGCTGCCTGATGTCTGGGATATTGTTTTGTTATCATTTTATGGTAAAGTTTTGGCCTAAAATGTCTTGTTAATCCATTTATTTGAATCCATTTATGGTGGATGGATACAAGCAGGGCATTATAAGATAAAATAGTCCCCAAAAATAATAATTTTTCAGATTTTCTAGCATTTTAAGATCATCAGCATTACATCTAAACTCTCAGACACATGAAGGCTCACTGGTCCAAGTCTGTAATTTTCTCTTTAACAGACCGTTTCATATCCAGCCACTCTGAACGACTTTGTTCACATCACAAAGACCGAATTATAGGAGGTTTGAAAATCAGTGGAATTCCCCTTTAACCCTTTCAGTTCCCACTCAGCTCCTCACAAACACTGGAGTTTCTGTGGTGCCTTTAAAATATCGGACTTTCAACTTGCATCCAAAAAGAGTCTGTGAAGTTTGTGCTGTGTCTACAGAATTAATAGTAGTGTAATAGAGGCTTTAGACTCCGACGGTAATCTGGCTAAGTGTAATGGAGGCAGAGTAATCTGGGTTATGAAGTGGATTTGAGCTGTATTTGTTGTTCTAATCCAGTAAATCAGGCCCGTCTGCAGTGTGGAGCTTTCCCTGCTCCAACACGCCTCCTCCAGCTAATCAAGCCCTTCATGAGGTAACTCAGTGCTGTCAGAGCAGGGGAAGATCAAACCATACAGAACGGGGGTCCCCCAGGGCCGGGGGGGCTGAGAAACACAGCTCTAAATCATCGCTCTGTCGCCGGGGTCACCGCTCCGTTCTGGAAATCTGAGAGAGGTGCAGGGAGAGAGGGGAGAGAGAGAGAGAGTGAGAGAGAGAGAGAGGAAGAGAGAGGAAGAGAGAGGGGGAGAGAGAGAGAGAGAGAGAGAGAGAGAGAGAGGGAGAGGAAGAGAGAGGGGGAGGGGGGGGGGCTGTTTTTCACCTTTTGGCTCTGCTTCATGCAGAATTCTGAAGCAGTGATGCAACTTAAAAATCATCTCACAGTGAAGAACAGCAAGATTTCCTCCCTAAAGAGACCCCCGCCCTCCCTCTCTCCCACCCTCCATCTCCCTCTCTCTCTCTCTCTCTCTCTGCTTTTCTGTCTCTCTCTGATTTTCTGTCTCTCGCTCTCTTTGAATTTGTCTCTCTGTCACTCTTCCTCTCTTTTTCTCTCTCAATTGTGTGTCTCCCTTCTTCTCCCATTTTCTCTCTCTCTCTCTCTCTCTCTCTCTCTCCCTCTCTTTCTCTCATTTTATCCACCACTTCAATTCAATTCAAGCTGCTTTATTGGCATGACAAATATGCTACATTTGTATTGCCAAAGCTTGCCAGAGACTTTCTCACTTTCTCTCTCTCCCTCCTTTGCAGCCTTTTTCATTTTTTGACTTTCTCTATCTCTCTGACTCTTATTTTCTGTCTCTCTCTCCTTCACTTTTTTTTCTCTCTCTCTCTCTGACTCTTATTTTCTGTCTCTCTCTCCTTCACTTTTTTCTCTCTCTCTCTCTGACTCTTATTTTCTGTCTCTCTCTCCTTCACTTTTTTTCTCTCTCTCTCTCTGACTCTTATTTTCTGTCTCTCTCTCCTTCACTTTTTTTCTCTCTCTCTCTCTGACTCTTATTTTCTGTCTCTCTCTCCTTCACTTTTTTTTCTCTCTCTCTCTCTGACTCTTATTTTCTGTCTCTCTCTCTCTGACTCTTATTTTCTGCGTCTCTCTCCTTCACTCTTATTCTCTCTCTCTCTGACTCTTATTTTCTGTCTCTCTCTCCTTCACTTTTATTCTCTCTCTCTGACTCTTATTTTCTGCCTCTCTCTCCTTCACTCTTATTCTCTCTCTCTCTCTCTCTCTCTCTCTCTCTCTCTCTCTCTGACTCTTATTTTCTGTCTCTCTCTCCTTCACTTTTATTCTCTCTCTCTCTCTCTCTCTCTGACTCTTATTTTCTGTCTCTCTCTCCTTCACTCTTATTCTCTCTCTCTCTCTCTGACTCTTATTCTCTCTCTCTCTCTGACTCTTATTTTCTGTCGCTCTCCTTCACTTTTATTCTCTCTCTCTCTCTCTCTGACTCTTATTTTCTGTCGCTCTCCTTCACTTTTATTCTCTCTCTCTCTCTCTTACTCTCAATTTTTATTTTGAATTATTTTCTCAGTTCCTCTCATTTCATGCTAAAACGTAATCCATTTAATACATTGAAAAACAAATCTATTGCTCTCTCTCTCTCTCTCTCTCTCTCTCTCTCTCTCAGATTAATTTGTTCCATTGCTCTTGTGAATGTGATGTGAGTAATGGCAGAGGGAGGATGGAAGGAGGAGAGAGAGAGAGTGAAAGAGAAGCGAGAGGGAGGG